TGGGTGAAAAAAGCTTGTTTGCAGGTTAAAATGATGCATTTATACCTGATAGTAATATACAAATCTGTTGATTTGTTGTTTTGGTTTACAACAGATTATCCTACTGGTAAACAGGTAGTTTACAATCAGTTTTTATTACCCTAGTTAGAGCTCTTCTTTTATTAAACTGGCACAAAATTGTAAACCAGTGTAGTTTAACCTGCATCCTACTGAAACCATAAAAAATAAAAAAATTAAGTACAAAGATTTTAGGTGGCTGAACTTTAAACTGTTTTAGTCTTTTTAAAAACTGTCTACTAAAAAGCAGTAATGTTTGCTAGCACAAATTTAAAAATATATTTGATAATTTAAAATTATAAAATTGTGTTGTTGCACCCAAACATTGTAGTAAATAGCAGTCATGTGATAACATTAGCAAAAATTGATAACAATTTTTACAATAAGAAAAATAAGAAAAACCTCACGCAAAGTTTTGATGTATTTTTTACAAAAAACATGTTTTATGCATCTTTATCAAAAAACAAATAACAAATTCTCAAAAATTTTAAAATAATTGTTTAATTAACACTTTTTATCTTTAATTTAGTTATATTATATTAGCAAAACAATATTTGTGCAATACCATCAAAACGTTGCCCCAGTTTTGTTTGTATTAAAAACCATCTCATAATGCAAAAATTGATATATTTTAACTTATTTGAGATTTACTAAACTGCTGGACAATCATCTTATTACAATGCAAAAAACTGACAAAATTTTAAATTTGTTTGCATTGACTTGCCTTCTTTGCCTCCTTGTACAGTGCGCCTTGATTGAAACTCAACACAATGAATACCCTTTTCCAACTATGATGGCTTCCTCAGTGATGCCAACAACCAAAGTCCCAGCGTATAAACCATTGGACTGGTGGTGCAAAAGAATTTGCCATACCACTCCGTCAGATGGAAGTTCCATGTGCAAATGCGGCAAGCTACCGTTTGCCAATTAAATAATTTGTTAACAATGAATTTGACAAAATATTTTTTTTAATTTTAATAAAAATGCGTTTTTAAAAAATTTTAAATTTGTTTGTTACTTTTTTTAAACATCAGCACTACACCTGCACTGTTTGCTGCATTTATCTTAGCGCTTCTTAAATCAAATTTATTTTTGCTGCACACCTTAACGTACCATGAGTTAAAATGCTTTCTGTATCGCAGCAACATTGCTTTGAGCAATGCATGCTAATTTGGCAGCCGGTTTCAGCTTTGTTTCATCGCAATCAAGGCAAATCTTCTCCTACCCCTCCTTTGAAACTGCTTGAAACTAAAATTTGCACATTAGTACACTGCTGCTGTACGACTGAAACAAAATTAACTGCTTTGCTTGGCACTATGTAAAAATTTGGCACATTTTGAAAGCAAAGCTTAACTTTGCTAACTGCGCTAATAATCTAGCAAATTAAGTAAATTTTTTTCTGTTGAACCAAAATCAAATTGTTTTTCCAACATGGCCAGCACCACTGGCGTGCTCTTTGGCTCGACGGCCTTCGCCAGACTGCACGACACCCTGCTAATTGTGTACGCCCACTGGCCCCTGGGCGTCTTCTTCTGTCGACTTATCATCTTCCTCAAGTTTTTCTCCCTCACCGTGAGCACTCTGTGCTTTCTGGCACTGCTCGTCCTTGCCTACCAGCTGACCGTCAAGCGCAGTAGGCCGCCCACTTCCGCCGGAAAGCAGGCCTTCCTGCTGGCCACCATTTGGGCGGTGGCCTTTATCACCACGATGCCGCTGCTATTTTGGCATACCGTCTTGAAGAATGGCTCAAAGTGAGTGGTTGCATAATTTTTAAAAAAATAATAATTAAAAGGAGAATTCTTTATTAATTAAATTTTATGCTTTCATTTTCGCTTTAAAAACTGAAGAAGCCAGTGCTCAATTGACTGGTATACTGAATACTATGACTTAATTGGTCTTGCAACGACAAACTCGGTGCTATTGCAGCTTTTCATTCCCCTTCCAGTGGTGCTGTTTCTCTTCTTCAGGGTGGCCACCACTTACATGCACCTCACGAAAAATTACAAGAAAAGTGCAGTTAACTGTGCCTTCACTCACTGGTGGATTCTGACTAATTTGCTTAAGAAGGATCAAGTTCAAGAAAATGAAAGCGCTAAGCAAAAAGAAGCGGTCATAATGTCGCCGCATGACAGTAAAGTATAACTTAAATTAAAAGTTTATTTTTACACAGGTATTAATTGGCTTGTTTTTGTTTGCTCCAAATTTTAGTTTGTCTCTATGATACTTATTCTTTCGCCTATTTTTTACCTGTTGAATTGGCCTGCTTATATAAACAACCTTAATTTTACATTTTATACATTAGAAAAAAATTTTTTGCTTTTTTTATTTGCTGAAGCGCCCTACTACTTGAAACCTTTTCTCTATCTTTTGCTTAACAGTAACTTTTGGTTTGCTTTGCGGACGATGGGCTCACATGTTAACATTGACAACTTAAATGACCCAGCCACTACTGAAAATGCTAATAACAAAACATTCAGTAACTCGGAGTTTAATGTTGAAAATGAAAAAAGTGAAACAAAAGTTTAGAACAACTAAAATAAAAATAATAAAAAATTTGTACTTGAAAAATAATATCATAAAATTTTTGAACAAATAATTTTGTCATTGTAAGGTTTTTAGTTTTTAATAATTTGAATAATTTTTTATCACACAATAACACTACACTAGCGTTTTGAATTTATCACTGCCTGTCTAAAACAAATTGTGTTAAACAAAAAATTAATAAAACGACAACTTGTTTGTGTAATCTGTACTCAATCTTTTTCTTTTTGTGCAAATTCACTATTCGACCTTGAGTTGCAAAAAACGCACTATTATTGCATTTTTGAAACATTTTAACTAATACCATCAAACGAGTTATCTTTAACTAATGCATACAAACTAAAAGCCCCAAGCGTTTATATACAGTAAAAGCTTGTTTCTAAAACGTTTATTAACTTTGCTTAAAAATGAAGTTTAATTTAATACTTATTTTTTGTTTATAAATTTTCATTTGGTTTGGACATCAATTACTGCCAGTGATTCAGCTAGCCAAAGTCCAGAAAGCATTTTGACTTGTGTTCTCAGTGTCAATCAATATAATAAAAATGATCGACCGCCACTGAAAAATGATTATCTTTTTATCAATGTTTCCCTGCAAGCAAATTACATCAACCGAAATAATGAGGTGCCTACTTTTTTAAAATTAACAAATACAACTAACCTTTTTATTTGATTGATTTCAGGACATCATTGTCAACATGAAATTGATTCAAAAGTGGCACGACTCTCGACTTGCCTTCGGAAGTTGCAGCAACGCTTCTAGAAGCAGAATATCTCTTTCCAGCAAGCACTCAACCAGAATTTGGCTGCCTGACACTCGCCTTGACACTGACAAGGATCAGGACACAGTTGAGGGACTGAAAATAGGCCAACACGGTGAAGTAATTTATGAGAAAAATGTCTTTGCCAAGGCTCGCTGCAACGCCAGCTTTGCCTCCTACCCAGTGGACCAGCAAAATTGCACCTTTTTTCTTGAAAGTGGTAAGGATAGATAAATGAAACTGAAAAACTGCAAACTTGAAAGCAAAATCTTAACTTTAAACTTGATTACACAGAATCTGACTACGCTCTCAAGTACCGCTGGCATTGGGGAAATCTTTCCCAAAAACCAAACTTTTTCAAGAAAATCATCATCTCAGACTTGAGTCTAGCTGGCTACAGTCTTCGCACTGAACCCAACTTTTCCAGTCGCCTGATGGTAGACGTCTTTCTCTGTCGACCCTTCTTCTTCTACCTAGCTCGCTTCTACCTGCCGGCCTTCTTCGTCGTAATTGCCTCCTTTATGCCACTTTACCTGTCGCCCAATTCTCACTCCAAGGTGGGCCTAGGAATTACTGTGCTTCTGACCATGACGACGCTGGTCACCAACAGCAGCTACGACCTGCCCAAGATTCACTATCTCACTATTCTGGACATCTATCTCTTTTTCTGCTTCTTCTCAGTCTTTTTTTCGGTAGTGGAGTACGCTCTGATTGGCTATTTTGACCTGGTCATCGAGGCGACGGCTGATAGCCGACTGGAGGGTGAACACTTTGCCGCCGTGGTGGTCAATCCAAAGCGCAAGTTGATCAGGCAAAAGTCAGCTGTGAAGCACTCTGACATGATCAACTACATTGCCCGCAAGTTGTATCCCTTTGTCTTTGCCCTCTTTAATGTCGCCTACATGCTGGTGCTGTTTGTCATTGTGGTCAACAATAGCCTGGAGCAAATTATGTTTAAGGTGTAGGCTTGATTTAAAATTCATTAATTTACTTTTACAACTGTTGCTTTGGATTGGCGACAAAAAGTTACATTATTTTGAAAGTTTTTATTTAAGTAAAGTCGCATTAAGTGAAGACACTTGTGTTGATAAATAAAATGACAAAAAGGTTATCAAAGTGTAAAGTGTTCACATGTGACTCCTAAATTGAATTTGGCATTATGCTTCAGTTTTCTGCAACTGTTGAAATGTCGCTTTTTGTCAAATGTCATTTTTGCTTATTTACTGAAAAATGTCATCAACAGAAACATTGAAAGAACTAAACTGTTTTGACTCAGTTGTGCCTTTTGCTTCTGAAAAACCTTGCAGCACACCTTTAAGATCTTCCTTTGATATAACCAAGTGAACTGCCTGCTCAAAAGTGCTAAACTTCACCTTGATGGGAATTTCATTGGTGAACAAGATTTTGTTTGCTAATTTTGTAAATAGACAAAAATTAGTTTAGAAAGAGAGCTTAATAATAAAAAAAATGCTTACTTTGATTGGCAACTGCCTTAATCGTAGGCGCCTCAAAGCCGCCATAAAGTCGACTAACCAGAGTGGCTTCTCGCAGCACCAGCGTCTCAGTCGCCTCAATCAGCGTGTCTGTCTGGCGGAAGTAGTCGCCAGCAGCGCCGGCCAGGCCCCACAAAAGACGTCCATAGACGTCCAGGAAGTGCATCGTGCCAGCCAAAACGTGCCGACTGGCCACACTGGGCAGGCTGACGACCAGCTTGCTTTCCTCGCCCGCCTCAGCGCTGAAGGCCATGCAACAGCGAATTGGTGGGCCTAGTGCACTTCCGGCAACTTCCGGAAAGGCTATCTTACTCGGCTGCTCGCCAATTTTGAGCACTTTCTTGCCACTGCACCTTCTGTCCACCAGCCAGTAGGTGAGCACCAGCGGATCGCCCATTTCACCTGGCAAGTTCAGGTTGAGAGTGATGTTAGAATTTGAAGGTGACTGCAGAAACAACTTCCGGGAGGTGGCAGTCAGTGGAACTCCATCCACTGTCAGTATACTTTTGCCGCTGGCATTGACCGGCAGCTGGGTGAAATTGAGCATCACTAGTTGATTTGGGCCAGTGGATTCATTCGCTTTAAAGGCAATCACTGTGTCCCATATTGACTTTTGCATCGCGTTAAGCGGAATGGTCAGCTGTCCCGTGTGATGTTGAAGGGGAATAAGCTCATCTTCGTAGTAGATTACGCTGAAGATGCGGGAGTCAAGTGCAAGTGAGTTGTCTGTTGGCGGAGCAACTTCCAGGCTGACGCTAATGTGGTCGTATCCGGCCAAATTGAGCAGTCCACCGGGTGAAGTTGTGCCACTGAAGGTGAAAAGTTGCTCAATTTGACCGCCCATGGCAGTTCCATTGATGATGAGTTTATCCCTTGAGTCTAAGGCGACTTGGCTCATGTCAAAATATGAATAAAAAAAGCCCGCCTTGAACTTCCAATTGCAGTGGTAAGGTTGAGGCTTTTGGTAGATTGCCTGCCAATTGCTAACACTTAGGACATAACCGTCGCGATAGTTACTCAAATGGTCATTTGGTGGGTAGATTTCTCCAAGTTTGCAATGCAAATACCCATTTACTAAAAAATTATTTGTTTAATTAAAATTGACATTATTATTTTTTGTACTTACCAGCAGTGACACTAAAAAAGGCTAAAACAAATGCAATAATAAAGCGAGCAAAATTAATGGTTAGTGGACAATTGAGCCAGGCCATTATTAGAGCAAGTAAGGCTGAATGAAATAGAAAATAAATTAACAACAAACAAACTAAAAAAATTATTAAAATGCAAAATTTTAAAAAATATGTTTACTTACTTCTTTAAAAAACTAGTAAAAACAGTTTTAGGTGTTGACACAAACAGCTAACAACTAAAATGATTTTTTGCTCAAGTGAGAATGCATTTATAAATTTGCTTGTTTTCAGCAGATATGTGTGTTGTGTTGATTGCCTTGAAAAGAGGGAAGATAGATCTTGTGCTGCGTAAACCACCTGGGAGTGCCACCAAAACCCCTGCAGACGGTGCAACTTGAGTTGCTCATGCTGGTGAGGAGCGGACTCAAACTGTGACGTTTGCATGAGCCCTAGTGAGCACTTAAAACTGGTGTGATTAGATAAACTCTTCAAAAACTTTTTTCAGAGCTAATCAGTCATCAGCAACATTCATGATAATTGCATTATTTTGCAAAGTAAGGGCAAAGGGCACACTGATAATTGAATAAGAGGAGATAAGAAGAAAAGATTTTCTCAACTGTTTAAAAGTATTGCTTCAAAATATAAGCTTGTTTTTGTAAAACTAAGTTGTCCACAGCCCGCAAACTATCTTGGACTCGGCCTACCGGCCGCCACTTAAAGTAAATAAGCATTGAGTGGAAACTTTATGTGTTGTGATGACTCAGGACGACCACTGTCCTATCATCTACGGACGGTCATACTGCAGCGCTGCGCGATGCTACATAAGCCGCGGCTGCTAACGTGGACACATACAGAACGTTTTGCCGTGTGATCATCGAGCACGTTGCTGTATCTTCCTACTTCCCTTTCTCCTTATTCTTCACCTTTATCCCCATCAATAAATCCTTTACCATGTTCCTCTTGCCCCTGGCCGTGGGTCCCATCTGCACTGCTGTCGTACTAGCATGTGCCTACTTGCGCTGGTCGCAGACCACACCGTTGGAGCTCTGGGCCATGTGCCGCCGTCTTACCAAAACCTCTTTATTCGCCGTTTACGCTTCCCTCATTGCTCTGTGGCTTGGACTTGCCTATCTGACTCGTCAACTGATGAACGAGTCTCAACACGTTATCAGCACGATCCTGCCATTGAGTGCGGATGTCGTCGAGTGGGGATCTTCGCTTCAAGAGCAGCAGCGACTTGCTCTTGCCGGACTCATCATCATAGCTCTGCTGATGCTATTGATCGTCATCGTTATCTCTAAGCAGCCGTCTGGGAATGTACGTGCTGGCGGAACCTTAAACCTTTCTGTCGGAATGCTATCTGAACTCCAGTTCTCGGTGTGGGAGAAGAGACTTCGATTTGTCCTAGCCCGCGAGAAACTGTTGAGTGCCATTGAGTCGAAGTTGTCTGACTCAGATGAGCGAAACATGGCCGCCTACCAATTGATCGTCAACTCAGTGCCACAGCGATTGGCGAGTGAAGTCCTGCTGACCAGTAACGCCTTTGACGCGTTTGCATGTCTCAAGAAGAAGCACGGCAAACTGAGCAGAGACCAGATCAAGGCGTTGACTGAGAACATCGAGCGCAAGAAGCTGGAAAAACTGGACAGTGAGAGTGTCAACAAGCACGTTGAGGACATCGAGTGCTGTTTGACCCAGCTGCGGCTCGCCGGACAAGAAGTGGATGACGCTGAAGCTGTCTCCATTCTGTGCAACTCTCTACCAAAAACGAACGATTGCGTCAAACTGTTCGCCACTGGCCTGAGCACCTACACTGATTTTGGACACGCTGTCAGAATCTTCAAGCGTCAGTGCCAGGAGTGGAATAACGAAGGCCTTCTTCCTCTTCAATCTCCCGAGAGTATTGCGTTGGCTGCATCTCAGCGCAATGCTGGACCGTACGTGCAGCGGGAGAGACGCAAGTGCTTCGAATGCGGAAAGGATGGACACCTAGCTCGGAATTGCTGGGTTCGCAAGGAAAAAGAAAACCTCTCTAGTCGTCGTGAAAATTATCAAGTTGAAAGGAAAAACTTTGTCAACAAACCTTTGATTTCGGCCAATGGCAACAATAAATTGAATCCAACCTCTTACTTCGTCCGACCATTTGATTCGTCAGACTTCATCTTCGATTCTGGATCGACTGACCACCATATTGCAAGCTCCGAGAAGTTTTGTCGCTTGAGTCGACAAACAGGGACAGTGACAGTCGCAAATGGAAATGAGTGCCAAGTACTGGGTACAGGAGATGCCCAAGTGAGCACATCAAAAGGAGTCATCCGTCTGAAGGAAGCGAAGTTTACTCCCGACTTTGGCGTCAACCTGATCTCCGTGCGACAGCTGACAAAGCTTGGCTACTCCGTGATCTTTGATGAAGACATGGCGAGAGTATGCTTGAACGGATCAGTGGTAATGACAGCACCAGTCGTCAACGATCTGTATGTGTTTAACGAGTCAGCCAATGTTGCGTTGATGAGCAAGTCTTCGCCAGTAGAGCTGCACCACCGCTTTGGTCATCCGGTAAGAGCAAAACAGTGGAACTGAAGAAAATGTTTCCCGAGTTGTCTCTTGAGCCGGTGGAAGACTGCGACACTTGCATCATGGCCAACCAACATCAAAAACCTTATCCTTCAACAAACAACAAATGCTATGAGCCGTTGGAATTGATTCACATGGACATCTGTGACAGCAAAGGTAGAGGTTTCGATGGTTCCCATTACTACCTGCTGCTGACTGACGAGATGACCAAGTACACGTGGACAATCGCGTTGAAAGACAAAACCTCTGCTGTCGTTTTAAAATCATTCATTGACGTGAAAACAAAAATCGAGCGACTAACTGATCGACGAGTGAAAAAGGTGCGCACCGACAACGGGCGAGAGTTCCTCGGAGCATTCGACGATTACCTGAAGAGAGAAGGAATCGTGCATCAGTTTACTGCGCCCTACAACCATCAACAGAACGGAAATGCTGAACGTACGATTCAGACAATCTCGGCAAAGATACGGGCTCTGCTGATTGGCAGCTGTATGCCAGAGAGATATTGGCCCTTGGCGATGAGGACTGCTACGTTCCTTCACAACATTTTGCCGCATTCTGCGCTGAAAGGATCGACGCCGACCAGATTAATGTACCCCAACGGCCGTGACTACATTGAAAGAGGTGGCAAGCTGCACACGTTTGGCTGTCTTGCTTATCGATGGATTCACCAGGAGCGAAGGAACATCCAACGCCTGAGCAAATTTGCGCCTAACTCAGAGCGACTCGTCTTCACTGGGTATGATGCTGACGACAACGACCTGCTGG